TTTCATCTTCTGCATTCTATAGTTGGGGCACTACTGGGTGCCCATTCATTCCATTTAATCAGCTGCTTTGCAGCTGCCAGCTGCCGGCTGCCAGATGCTTATGGATCTCATACGCGTTATATGATATATGATATATGAATTTATGAATATATGTGATCTTATGGGCAGTGGTGCATGGTGCATCGTTTGGGTTTGGATTCGTGAAAAAAAGGTCGCACCATCCTTTGCGACAAAAGTTTCTTTTGCAGGTACATGACCGGCCAGACCATTTATGTGGACGGTGGAGCTTCACTCGTTTTCTAAGACGCGAGAGCGGAAAACAGTAGTTGCATGGGGTTGCCTCGTTGATAGTGGAGCAAAGTTACGCAAAGTGCGGCTTTCAGATGCTTTCAGCCTTGGTTTTCAATATATTTTCCTCATATGATGTTGACATATTTTGATCATATGTTGAGAAGTTTTCCCCTTGACGAACAACCAGCATGGCCAACCAGGCTTTAGCACCCTGGTGGCGACAGTCAGCGGCATGTCTGGGACTTGAAGCGGACCGCTTGCTACGCGCAAGCTACGTACAACGGGCTGGTGGCTCTGTGCTGGCATTGCCACAGGCTGGCCAACGGTGCTTCTCGGACCAGCACAAGAAGAGAGGCCGCGAAAAAGCCACCAGCGATAGATCCAAGCAGAGTATCCTCAGCGGAAGGTTTGAGCATTTTACCATCTCAATACTCTTTAATATAAAAAAATGTCAATAATTGTCATATAAAGCCCACATTGAAACCGCATGTTTTCCTCGGCACCAGGTCAACAGGAAGCGAACCGAGTGACTCATGGCATGTCGAGGTGTGTGATTGCCTTTCTGACTGCATTTGCAGCCTTTGGCCATCTCAGGTATGGCTGTGGCATGCTATGATTGTGGGATTGGTGTTGTCAGATGTTATCAGTGTCAGACCAGATGCCCAAAATTGGGATAGAGATGGTTAGAGTGCTTATGATACTTGTGATGATGTTTTTTTCTCCGGTATAAAACATATTGAGCTCACTATTTCATGACTTTCACCAGGAGGCCTCGGGGCCTCGGGAACAGTTTGCTATGTATGGATTCATGTGGTGTACAGTGTGCAGGCGATTCAAGCTGGGACCCAAGCTTTCAAGACCAAGCGACAGCCAGCGACAGCAATTCGGACCATTTGCTGAATCACTGAAGTCGGATTGTGTCATCTTGCATTTCACTACAGTATACGAGTTTGAGGTGGCAGCTGGGCTTTGGCGTTCTGGTGCCTGCTGCCAGCTTTGGTTTCTAGCCCAGAATGGACGGACCGGGGTGTCAATGGTGGCTTTGTGCTTGTCGCCTTTGGATGGCCCGTAAGGGCAGATACAAATAGATACAATCTCAGCGCAGCAATCAGCTTAGTAACGCGAATCCCGCGGATCATGTGACCCGTCAGAGGTGGGCTACCCATCCAAGGCCGCCTTTCATCGGCATCGATGCGAGAGTGGCCGGAAGCTCAGGGCAGGTCATGGAGAGGGCTGAGATATGCTGAGATTAGATCATTGCTGTCACATCCTGGTCAGTTTTCTTCCATGGAGCGGTAGTATGGCTATGGGCGGCCGGAAAGGACTAGTCATTGAGAATTGTATGCCAAAGTCAGGTTTCGGAAGCACAGAAAAGCTTAGCACAATATGGCCTGGACGGAATTTCTGGGTACGAAGCTGAGACACGCTTTGGCACCACAAATTTTGGACGACCGCCTTGACTTATTGGTGTATACTTTGGTGTGACGGTGTGACTGTTTCGCGCGACTGGAATAAGAATCCATGTGTTTCAATTGTTTTTCACTGCAGTGGCCGCACTGGTGGCTTTGCTGTTCTATGGTGAGGCCTTTGCCTCCAGATTTCATTGTCACAATGCGCACAGAGAAGAGCGAAAAGAGAGAATCTGATGTGAAGAGCCGACCTTAGAAAGCTCCAAGTGAGATGATGTGAGATGGATGATAATTAATGTTAGTTACTGTTTTTATGTTTTTATTTTTCTGTGGGTTGACTTCTGATGGTCTTGGAGTCCTCTTCATGGGCTGATGCACTTGTTTTGGTAATAGACAATAGACTCTTCTACGTCAAGGTTTGCCCTTCTGAATAGCAATGCATCTGTTGTAAAGTTCTGTAGTGTTTTGGGCTACAAGGTGGAGGTTCCTGCATACCACGTAGCACAGGTTCTTACTAGCAAGAAAGTGAAGACTCCACGTTCACATGAAGATAGAGTGTTTTCAAAATCTTGAGGTGTTCATTTTCGGCCGGTTTTTCTCTGTCCGTAGTTGTCTCTTCTGCAAATTTCCACATGGTTCTTTTAGTTCTTTTGAGACTACCCCCAAGATTGGCAACTAGAGTTCTAACTGTTCTTCTAGCGTTTGAGGGTAGCTTGATAGAGATGCCAAATGAGTTGCTCTCGCAAGGGAAGATGATGGGACAAAGAAAGCCCAAAAAAACGACGAAGATGTGGCCATGGCCAAGAAAGAGACGAGGCAGCAATTTTCCCGCGTCAAGCAGACTCTTGATTGCTCAGCTTGAGTTTTGACGATTTTCTGCAGACTGTAGATGGCTTCTGAACTTTCTGATCGTGCGTAAGTTGCCATGCGAATAAGATGCTTAGCCCGATGTTGGGAGATGAGTCTACATTGATATACATTGACTACATGTCATTTTTGTGCCAAAGTGCCTCAGAAATTGCAAGACAGAGATGGTACTGGGCAAGGTTTTTCCTTCGTGCAATTTCTGATCAAGGCTTGGATTTGCAAACACTGGCAGTTCTGATCAGAATAGAGTTTGAACTATAGCATTTACTAGCAGCACCTTGAATCATCATGATATATACTATATATATATATATCATGATATATCACAGCTTTTTCATTGTAGGTAAAACCTCTATACGATTAATTTCTCTATTTTTTCCGGGATTTCTCTGGTATACAGTATATATATATATATATGTACAATTATATACATACCAGTATGTATACTATATTACATATATATATATATACATTTATTTCATTTTATTGATACTGTGCTTGTTCCAATGTGTTTTCATAGACTTGTCACTTCCGAGTCTTTGAGCTCGGCAGGTCACGAAGCTTTAGACAGGGCAGCGAAGGACAGATTTACCGTGCTGTATGCTGTGCCGGTCGCCTGGGAGTCGCAACTGGCTGCGCTAGGGATTTGTGGTGTGCTATGGTGATTATATGTGATTGCTATGGATTGCTATGGTGATTATGGTGTGCCCTTTGCCTGTCATTCTAGGCAAATTATAGAATTCAGTTGATGGCTGAGTTGTTCACAATATCGCTGAAGATCATGTGATATCTGATAGTCATGTTTCAAGATTTTCAAGACCCGTCATGTGACGAGGATGCTGGTGGTGGCCGTGTGTTCGAAGGTCGATCAAAGCTGGCGACCTTAGTGTGTTCTTGCAGTTGATTCGATTGGCAAGAGCAATGGAGCCCAATGGAATGCATTTGCCAGATGGAATCAGCACCGTGGGGACCAAGGACCCAAAAGGATGCAAAAGGTTAGCGCATGTTCACGTATGTTTCCATAATTCATCATACTACACATCATTTGAACTCATCCGACGGGTTCTATTGCGCTGTCACGTCATCAGGTTGGTGGATTTCTTCGAGCGTTTGGCTCGTCGTCATGCTGGTACTGCCGCATCGCGCCGGGGCCATTGCATTCTTGGAGATTGCTGAAGCATGCTTGAGCGCAAGTCTTTGCACAAGGGGGGAAATGGGAGATGTTATTGTATCCATTTATCATTATCCTTTAAAGATGTTATTGTAATTCCCTCATTTTCCTTCAATTTCCCTCTCTGTGTTTAACATGTTGGGAGCAAATCCTGCTGGATGTCCAATCCCTCATGAAATGACATGATTTGAGCCGAGGCTTTGCTCACACCAGTTGAGCCTTCGATCTTTCATGGCTTCCCTCCGCAAGTGGGACCACGGATTGATTACTTTATCAACAATTTGATGCCCAATGCACTCAACGGGCCGTTGCCCGCATTTTCCCAAGGGTGTTGTACAGATAAAGGATGAAAAAGGATGGACATATTAAAAAGGAACATGCATGCCGCTGACGTTTGAATGCTGAAGGGACATTTCAGGGCCACCGCTTGTGAATTAATTGTTGCAGACCTGTTTGTTGTTGCATGTGTATTGCATGCCACCGCTGCCGACTCAGTCAGCCTAGATTTGCTGTGCTGAATACAGCTGTTGCTGCTCAAGCTAAGGCAGCCAAGTGGCCGACTCCATGCCCGATGGTCTAGAAAGGTACTGACGGAGCCTCTAGCGTCAAGATGGCATTTGTTGATCCTGGTCATGAGAAAGCAGCTGTGCAACCTCCATGGCTGCGGAAAAGCTGGAAATGCAGAGCATATATGGCGTGCAAGTGCGCCAGGGCAAGCTGTGGGGGCTGGCTGGTGCAATCAAACGCCTCGGACATAGCAGTGACTGGAGGGTAGCATTGGATCTCCTGCAGGAATGCCTGTGCTGGGAGCCTGACGTGCCAGCATTCAATGCTGCTGTGACAGTTCTGGGGGGCACCTCCTCGTGGAGAAATAGTTTGGCCATGGTGGACACAATGCAAGCGTCCTTCATCCAGCCAAATGTCATCACGCTTGGCGGACTTCTACGCGCTTTGGAACCTGGCGGGTGGTTCAGAGCAATCCACTTCTTTCACCACTTGTCACGAATGACCTTGGAGACAAATGTGATCCTTGTCAACACTGCCCTTGCAGACAGTCGTTCCGGAAAGCGCTGGCGGTTTGGTTTGCATATACTTGCAGCTGCTGCATCAAACGGGCTCGAGCTGGACACTGTGTCATTGAATTCAGCAGTGGTGGTGTCTGGTCAGTGCAACACTTGGGAGTGCAGCTTCACTGCCTTGCAGCAGATGCAGCGAGCGCAGGACTCAAACCTCCGGTCAGACGCTATCACTCGCAATTCATGCATTCAATGCTGTGTGGAAGGAAGACCTTTGCATTCCTGGAAACACGTGTTGTTGCTAATAGGTGACACGGAACAACGTCCCAATCTGTCAGGGTTCAATTCAGCTGTCAATGGGCTGGCCAAGGCTCGCAAGTGGCGGGAGGCCGGGCCATCAAAAGAGCCAGCTTGGTAGCAAACCTCTGTTGAACCCCGTGAGTGCGGGCATAAGTATGTGATAATTAGTGATTCCTATGTTCCTATGTTCCTGTCGGAGAGAGAGAGGGAGAGAGAATCCTCCACGCCCTATTTTGTACCTCCTGCGACTTGGCTAGCATTTGACTGGTTGCGTCTGGTTGCCCCCAATCGCCCAATTTCCTCAGGGCTTAGTCCTCCTCATGACAGCCAAATTTCATGCCATCAATCTTCACATTTCTTCACCGTGTGTTGCAGGCGGTTGCTGTGTTCCGGCAGATTCCTGCAAACAGCTTCGCCAGAGATTTGCGCAGCTTTCACGCAGTGGCTAGTGCTACTGATTCCTGGGCCAGGTTGCTGCAACTCTGCATCAACCTTGAGGAGCTAAACTTGCAGACAGATGTGGTCTTGGGAAATATGTTGTGCAGCTGCAGCCGGAGAGATTGGCAAAGCTCTTTGCTGGCTTCGCAGATTTTCTTACAGAAATCTCTTGAACCTGATTCGGTGACTGCTTCTGCCTTGGCATCGGCTCATGGTTATTTGCACCGATGGAGGCATTCCATGACGGTTCTACAGATGGCTCCAATGAATGCCCAAGCTGTGGCAGCTGACACGGAGTATGTTCGGGCCTCCTGCCTTGATGCCTGCGCCAAGCGTTTCGCCTGGGAAGCTGCTTCGAGTCTAAGTGCACCCAGACCAGTGAACGGCTGCGACGAAGACACGGTGTATCTGGCAGCAATCGAAGGTCAAAGCAAGGCATCTCAATGGCTGCGCTCAGTGCAGCAGCTGGAAAATCTCAACAGCCGTGGCCTGCGGCAGAATGTCCTCATGTACAGTGCGCTTGGTTCTGGTCAGTTCCTCAGTGTGACTCAAAACGCACAACGTTACCAGAGGTCAGGATAATCAGTTGACTGACTTGCCAGTTTGATCCAGTTTGTATCATTTAATTAATGCTGCATTTTTCAGGCAAAGTACTAGCTTCCAATCATCTTCCAATCTGATAAAGCCAAGGCCAGGACACCTGCTGGGAAGAAGCTGTTGCGATGTTTAAAGCTGGATGGTCCAGAAGTCTCCAGCCAGACGCCGTGCTTTTCAACGCAGTTGCTAGGCTTTGTGCCGCAGAAAACTGGCTGCTGTCAATCAATTTGCTTGGTGAAATCCTTCAATGCGGCTTGCACTGGACAGACACAACTTACACAGCTGGCTTGGTTGCAGTCGAGGATTCCCATTGGAGTCGCTGTGGTGAATTGCTGTCACAGAGTCAAGAGCGTGGAGTATTCTTGGGGAGTTCGCCTTTAGCTGCAGGGATCAGATGTTTTTGCGCTGGACAAGCTTGGCCCTACGCCATAAACTTGTTGCAGGGCGTCAGAGCTCTTGCTGCGCTAGAAGATGCCAACCGTATTTTTCCGGAGTTTGGAGCTGCAATTGCAGCCTGCATCAGCGGAAATGCTTTTCAGATCTCACGATCCCAGATAGAGGAGAACAGACATCATTTCCTCGCTTACTTACTTGATTTAAAGGCAAGACTTCAAAAACATTCAAAAACAATCAAAAACAACATATATATAACTATAGACTATATGTTATCTTCAAATTTCATCTTTGCGTAGATTGATTCTCTTTCCGCCTGATTTTGCCCCTCCATATTCATTCGAACAGCAGGATAGGGCCAACGGCCGTTAGTCGCGAACTAAATCGGCTTTGGCAAAAAAAAATGCACTCTAACGACGAATATTTTTTCGATATTTTAATTTCCACAAGTGGTCCGAATATGTGATTTTTTGTATATTTTAATTGGAAATATATTTTGTATTATAACGTTACATAATTTTTTACTTTTTATTTGGTCAGATAATTTCATTTTTGTCATTTTATAATATTTTTCGACCCTTTGAAATTAATATATTATTGGGAAAATATAATATTTCGTAATTTTCTTCCTGATTTTTTTTTTCTTTATTCTTTGTTTGATTTGTTATTTTTGTTTATTTATTTTTCTGCTTTATTTTTATTATGTATTTATTTATATTATATATTGATGGAAATTTAATTTCTAAATTTATTTTCGATAAAATAATTTATAATAATCTATTTATTTATTGATTTATATTATAAAAATTAAACGCAAAATGGAAATAATATTTTTAAGATTTTGATTTGGAAATATATTTTATATTATGGTGAATTATTTATTTGCGATAATTTAAATAATATATACCCTGAGTGTCTAGGTCCATTTTTGAAATGATCTTTACATAAGGTCTATTTTTAGTAATCAAAGTCCCGAAGCATTATTCTATAGTGATATATGTTGTAAAGATGTTGATTGTTTGGACCATGTGATGGTACACCATGCAGTTGGCTCCAAGGAAAATGTGAAATACAGTGGTTTCGTACAAATCAGCATCCCACCATATCATTCCCAATGAACCGTCCAACGAGAAGTGATAAAGAATGGGGAAGTATGGATCCAATCTTAAACTAATGGGACCCCACATATCTCCAATGTTTTGGCCCTTGTGGGGTATTGATTTTTCCCAACCACTCTTACCAGCTATGTCTGCCTCTGGTGAATGGTGATGATCTGGCTGGCGCATCCCGCTGGTATGATGATCAAGATACAGCATCTGGTCTGCAAATTGGGGGTTCGGTCACTCAAGAAATGAGTTGTCATCTTTGGACCCTGCTAGTCCAATATCCAAGGTGGAATTTCAGCCATGAAAATGAAAAAGGCGTTGAAGCGACGTCAGAAGCCTAGCTTGGACGGGTCCCATGCTTATTATCATAACGATAACAATTTGGGTGTCAAAAAATGGGATCCCTGCTAGGATTATGATTATAATTTATTTATTAATTAATGTATCCCATTTTTTGCAACCCCCGATAACACAAGTCTTAAATAAAATTACCCCATTGTTTTGGGTTTGGCCAAGGATTGGTGAGCGACATGCGGGTTATGGAACCCAAGGTGCAGATCACCCCGTCACCAGGTGCCCCCCTCTTTGCCACTATTTGCCTCACTGTTTTGCTTCGTTTGCGGTACTGGTGAGTTGGGGAACTTGATCTAGCCAGGTCCATTGGCCTCATATTGATTGTTGTGTGTGTTCTTTTTCTCCTATTCCTGCTCAAACTTGAGTTGGCAGCTGACTTCCAAATGACACTTATATTTTAATCATCTTCCCAAAAATTATACTCATCAAGGCCAATTTTGCTGGGTAATCAAATTTGGCAACCCCTATAGGGTTGGATTTCAGCGGAGCCCCTTGCTCCGCACTTCGCTCATGGCGGGGCTGAATGCCGATGACCGAAAGGCACTCCTGCAGGCACTTCGGCTGCAAGCTCACCAAGAATTTGCAGGTATGGGATGTGGAAACAACTCGGGTATTCAATTACCAGTGCAGCAACCCTTTTGTTTCTCTTCCTAGGCCTTTCTTATAGATGTGTTGGATGACAAGTATGTCTCGAAGCGGAGAAGTCTCTTGAGAAAGAGGGCTGGCCTTCGGGAGCGGGACCCTGCAGCTTTCCAGCCGCATCATAATTTTGAATACTGGTTGGTTCTTTCAAAATCTTTCTTGGCCCTGTGGAAGTTGTCTAGCTGAGGTTCCTGCTTTCTCCTTTGTGACCAGGTTTTCAAAGGATGAAGTTATCCGAGAATATGAGGCCTACATATGTCTCTTCAAAATGGACACACGTACCAATTAAGATAGATATGGACTGGTGACCTGATCCATTGTACCTTTTTTCTTGGGATGAACCAAATCAAATATCATGCAGGTCAACCATGAGGAGAACAAGATCTATCTCATCAACATGCTGGCCTCGTTTGCAGACCAACTTCCAACGGATAATGAACGAGGAAAGGCTACTGCAATTTTGTCTGCATGTGTTTTTTTTCCAGTCCTTCCTAGTGGATGGCATGAAACATGGTAGCTACTTTGGGAGGCTGCCCTCACATGGGCTTCGATGACATTCAACCTCAATCCGCAACTGGCTAATGAGGCAGAGCATCGAGTACCCTGACTGGAACAGAAATTAATCAGTGAAAAGCACAGCAAGGTGGTGGGTTGTATGTTCATCAGATATATGTTTGGGGTTTGGGGCTGTATAAAAGCACGGGGGTGCATTTGGTAAACCGATGAAACAAATATAGATATTACCAATGGGTCCTCTGAAACATAGATGATAAAACAATTGCATATCAGGTTGCCCTGTTTTGTATTCCAACCTTCTCCTACTTGAGGCTTGGGCATCAATGGAATCTGGTGTCCAACGTGCAATGGCAAGCTATTGTATGTTCCGCTTCCAGAAGGCGGAAGGCAGCAGGTCGACAACTTAACCCCATCATATGTGGTGGACTGATTTTGTGCATTTGTATAATTTTTGTATCTCTTCCAAAGCTACCATGTGTTCATACGAAACCAAGGGGTGGCCACGAAGGAATGCAGCAAATCAAAGATGTGATTCGGTCCAGGCTCCAGGCCATCACATACTTTGTTCAATTTGTGTTCAAATATAGTAACCCCAAAAAAACAAAGAACAGTGTCAGGGTTTCCATGAGTCTATTGATCATCTCATATTTCCAGACTCTGGGGGTGCTCTTTAAAAAACCTCGCAACCATAGATCTACTTGGGTTGTTCTCCTGCAATTGGCAGGTCACTGGCATGCTAACAGAGAACGGCAAAAAGAAAGCAACCCGAGGAAGAAGTGCCTCCAGCCAGGACCATTCTTCCTTATATTTTCCCCCCACTAAAAAAAATGGAGATCAACGAAAAATATGAAGAAAGGGATCCTTTTCAGCCTTTGCCTTCCGCAGGATTTGACAAAGGCTATGCAGCAAAGAAGTGAAGAGAAGGAAGAAGATCAGCATGAGCAGATCCTGGAGGAGGAAGACAAGTCTGAAGATGAAGAAAGGGTGGCAGTGCCTGAGGGGGTCAACCCAGATGAATTAGACACCCTCCCGCTTTTTCCTGATGATTCCCAATGCCTGGGTTGTGACGTGCCAGCTGTTTCCGAAGAGTCGCCTTCGCAAGATGACCTTGTTCCAGAAACAGAAGAGGATGATGAAGAAGAGACACAGGAGGTTGAAGGGAAGAGAAAGTTCAAGGCACCAGCCGAAGACCAGAAGAAGAAGCGTGAGGATGAAGAGGATGAATCGGATGAAGAAGAGGATGAGGAGTCTGAAGAAGAGAAGAAGTGCATGGCAGCACCCAAAGACCCCAAGAAGAAGACCGCAGCCGCCAAGACGAAGAATCTTGAGGATGAAGCAGAGGATGAAGAAGAGGATGAGGAGGCTGAAGAGAAGAAGCAGTGCATGGCAGCACACAAAGACCCCAATAAGAAGATGGCAGCCCCCAAGATGAAGAATCTTGAGGATGAAGAAGAGGATGAAGAAGAGGATGAGGAGGCTGAAGAGAAGAAGAAGAAATGCATGGCAGCACCCAAAGACCCCAAGAAGAAGACCGCAGCCGCCAAGACGAAGAATCTTGAGGATGAAGCCGAGGATGAAGAAGAGGATGAGGAAGCTGAAGAGAAGAAGGAGTGCATGGCAGCACACAAAGACCCCAAGAAGAAGATGGCAGCCCCAAGATGAAGAATCTTGAGGATGAAGCAGAAGATGAGGATGAGGAGGCTGAAGAGAAGAAGAAGAAGTGCATGTCAGCACCCAAAGACCCCAAGAAGAAGAGGGCAGCCGCCAAGACGAAGAATCTTGAGGATGAAGAAGATGATGAAGAGGAGAAGAAGTGCATGGCAGCACCCAAAGACCCCAAGAAGAAGACGGCAGCCCACAAAGTGAAGAAGATTGAGGATGAAGAAGAGGATGAAGAGGAGGATGAGGAGGCTGAAGAGAAGAAGAAGTGCATGGCAGCACCCAAAGACCCCAAGAAGAAGATGGCAGCCCCCAAGATGAAGAATCTTGAGGATGAAGCAGAGGATGAGGATGAGGAGGCTGAAGAGAAGAAGAAGAAGAAGAAGAAGAAGAAGAAGTGCATGGCAGCACCCAAAGACCCCAAGAAGAAGACGGCAGCCCCCAAAACGAAGAGGCGTCAGGATGAAGAAGAGGATGGAGAAGAATATGAGGAGGCTGAAGAGAAGAAGAAATGCATGACAGCACCCAAAGACCCCAAGAAGAAGACGGCAGCCCACAAAGTGAAGAAGATTGAGGATGAAGAAGAGGATGAAGAGGAAGATGAGGAAGCTGAAGAGAAGAAGAAGAAGTGCATGACAGCACCCAAAGACCCCAAGAAGAAGACGGCAGCCCCCAAGACGAAGAAGCGTCAGGATGAAGAAGAGGATGAAGAAGAATATGAGAAGGCTGAAGAGGAAGAAGAAGAAGTGCATGACAGCACCCAAAGACCCCAAGAAGAAGACGGCAGCCCCCAAAACGAAGAAGCGTCAGGATGAAGAAGAGGATGGAGAAGAATATGAGGAGGCTGAAGAGAAGAAGAAATGCATGACAGCACCCACAGACCCCAAGAAGAAGACGGCAGCCCACAAAGTGAAGAAGATTGAGGATGAAGAAGAGGATGAAGAGGAAGATGAGGAGGCTGAAGAGAAGAAGAAGTGCATGGCAGCACCCAAAGATCCCAAGAAGAAGAGGGCAGCCGCCAAGACGAAGAATCTTGAGGATGAAGAAGAGGATGAACAGGAGGATGAGGAGGCTGAAGAAGAGAAGAAGTGCATGGCAGCACCCAAAGACCCCAAGAAGAAGATGGCATCCCCTAAGACGAAGAAGACTGAGGATAAGGATGAAGATGATGAAAAAGGTCAGGCTGTCGAAGTGCAGAAGCGAAAGACATCACCAAAAGACTCCAAGGTGAAGAAGATGGCAGCCAAGAAAGACGAGGAGGAAGGAGAAGATGAAGAAGCAAAGAAAGATGAGGAGGAGACAAAGAACAAAAAGGCTAAGTTCGAAGAGCTCACTGAAGTGCTAGACACTGATGATGAAAAAGGAAATGAAACACGTTGCACTTTTGAAGAGGACAAGGGCAAAGTGATGCCAGATGAGAAGTTTGTGGACAAAGCCACAGAAGACAAAGCTGAGCGACTCATGCATGAGTTGTACAAAACGAGGGGGCTGACCACATCAAATGATGATTTGGTTGTGGCCCAGCGCAAAATGATGAGGTTGCGAAAGGAAAATTAGGAGAACAATGGAGAAGAGGAGGATGAGGACAAAGCCATTGCCCTTGCAGAGGAAGATTCCGACGAAGGACCAAGACGTGGTCGCGGCAAAGGACGAGGCAAAGGAAGAGGCAAAGGACGAGGACGTCGATGCAGCAAAATTGACACAGAAGCACCAGAGGAGGAAGAACCAGCGAGCTCAAGTAAAGCTGCAGGCAACAAGAAGAAATGAGAACAAGAAGCACCCCAAAAGGCAGTGAAGAAGACCAGAGTGCCCAAGACAGATGTTGCAGAGGCCGAAGGATTGGAGGATCAGGAAATGGATGAGGACCAAGAGGAAAGCACCAAGCCAAAGAGAAAGAAGCACAAGCCTGGAGATGGTGAGGATCGCAAAGAGGAGAAGCCAGCAAAGGCAAGCAAGAAGCGAGAAGCTCCAAGAGAGGATGAGCCAGTGGAGAAGAAGTCGGATAGCAAGAAGAGATCCAAGAAGGATGAAAGTGAGGCTGAAAGCTATGAGAACTTTGGGGACAAACCGCAGAATGACTTCGAGTCCCCCCCGAAGATGAAGGGCTCGGAGAAGGAAAAGTTGAAAAGCAGCCCGTTCAAGCTGGCCAGCAAGGCATCAAAACGTGCCATGGCTGAGGCTTCGAAGAATGACAATGGAAAGAAGGAGAAGGGAAAGAAGGACAAGGGAAAGAATGACAAAGTTAAGAGGCAACTGTTCCCGGGGACCGAGGTGGAAAGCACAAGAGCAGAAGCTGGCAGTCCCGAACGCAAGAAAAGTAAGGAAGAGAAACTGAAAGATGTCATGGAAACTATGTTGCAAGTAAGATGGGTGTGGGGACAAGGAGAATAAAATAATATATAGTTTTTGGCTGTTTTGGGTCAAAGTACTTGAGCCAAAATTGACATATGTCACCCCTTCATCACTACTGCCCTGCCAAGAAATGACCACTGTTCACCAAATACCTGCCAAACACAAAAATAACAATGATCATAGAGTAGCATAGGGACCCTCGGATGTCGTAAGTACCTACTTGTGATACCTACTAATCAATATTATGTTTTATTTTTATGCTTTGGTAACTGACAAGTCTTGGTCCAACATTTATTACTGTGTTTTGGATACCTGAAGCCTCGTCTCAGGAGGATTCCTTGCGCAAGGTTGCTACCCTTGCAAAGAAGGACTCTGATATGGAGCTCCCGGAGTATGTGGCCAGTGCCATTGAATCTCTTTCCAGTGATGGGGAAATGAAGTTGGATCGAAAGCGATGACCCCAGTTTAATGAAAACAAACAGTCCAGCAATCAAGAAAATGCTTTGATGGCTTTATAGCAAAATAGAAGCGATTGGGGTATGTGCATTAAGCCATGTGAACCCACAAGGTCCTTCACGCTACCACCACCAGTTCTTCTTTGTCCAGACGAAGATCCCTTCATTTTGCGAAGTTCAATTGGTGTGTTGTTGGGCCCCTAGAACTCTGCCAATACAATTATGATGTATGATGTTGGCCAAAAAATCAAAACCTAGGGGATGGTATGGTTTATTTGTTATCATCTTTGTTTATTTTTTATTATTACTCGTTTGAGGGCACACAATTTTGAACCACATCTCGTACAATGCATTTATCCCTCTGATGATCCCATCCAACCCTGTCCTTCTCGCTACAGGTTTAACACTGCCAGCTTCTTTGTGTCTCCTGTCGTGGCGAGTCGTGTTCAGCGGGCCAACACCGACCATGGGTTGACTATCAGTGTTACTTGGTGGGTTTCGCAATAGATTGCCCAAACACACGTGAAAAAGTAAAAACATGTTCGGGGATGGTTTGTCTCTTTAGCCCAGGCAACGCTGACCAGAGGCGTTTCAGTGGGATGGAAGAAATTTGGCGGTATCGATGCCGCGTGCTGGACTTACAAAGACAAATTTTGCTATCGAACACAAGTTTGGTGTCCTCAAATCATTAGCCATTTGCATACGTGCACATGTTTGTAAACTGGTGTTTTGAGGTTGGAATTTCAAATCGATGGTTTGGATACATTTGAATAAGATATTAATTGTGGGACTAGATCTGGGTTGCACCACTTGGCTGCTCAGGTGGAAGCTCAGCAAACAACTTGCTGGCTGGGAGAAGCCTGATTTGAATGATGAATCTCCAGCCCGATCTGCTTGAAAGTCAAAAGCTTCGGGGCTTTTCCAGCCAGAACATTTTGGCAAAGGTATCTATGGATGGACTGGTCGCTTTCTGAAATGAAACGATGGAATTCCCAAGGCACACCTGATTGAACATACTTCTGGTTGAAACACTATTTCAAATCAATTGTTTTGATTAACTAATTCTACTTGTCACAAAATTGATGAAATGTGTGTTGTTTTTCGAAGGTGTTTGCCAAAGAGTTCCTTGGGAGCCAGTCGAGTTTGTGCGGGGAATATCACCCAGTTAGTGCGTGCGACTCAACACGCAGTCTGGGCGTGGGGCTTCAGTAGGAAAATTGCACCAGTAGATTGCACATTGATTTCACAAGGGCGATTGCCAGTATTAAACCAAAAATTACAGTAAATCCCAAGATAATAGCATAATGGTGATTGGTTTAAGCTGGGAATCGGCCATGTCGAGTCTTGTAGCAGCGAGAAGCTACAACAATACGATGTCATATTTGAAGCAACACTGACCTGTAGATAAGACATAATCTATGTGCATCTCCAGAGCCCCTTCTTCATCAGCTTCAAAGTGTGTTGGTGCCCTTTGATTGGCTTCGCACCATGCGGCGCCAACAACCTTACCAACCAGAGTCCCCCCTGTCCTTGAGCCAGTCTGCAGCCCGCATGATGACATACCTGGCTATGCCGCTGGTGTTGCCCCCAAGCTAAATTGGATTGGTGCGCAGTCGAAACCTCTTTACTCAAGGATCTTTTCCATGATGTTCGATATCTTGTTGGAAAAATATGGGTACATGGAAAATTCTCTACTTGATTCTAATGATATATGATATTTTTTTGGGCACCAGAATCCCCATAACCCAAGCCTTTGAATTCATCTGAATTTACATTGCATCGACTACGTGGCAGAGAGGACGACATTTATGGGCCAGATGGAGCGTGTCATCCACTTAGATGTTTTTTTCTGTCCCACTTTGCCCCATTTTGCATGGCAGTTTTGGTCCGTAATCATCCTAACCCGAACAAGCCCTACGATCAAGGATTTGGACAATTGCGATCTCTTTGGTGGTCAAGGTGCAATTCAGACGGCCTTCCGCTCGAAGCTCAAAAGTAAATTCAGCAAAACACTGGCCAGAATTGTGTTGAACTTTATTTGCTTTACACTTGCTAGATTACACTGGGATTACAATCCCAGATTTGGACCGTTTAATCATCAATGTGAAAGTTAGGTGGGAGTGCTATCCAAATGTGGGAAACGTGAAAACCCCATCAGCATATCATGACCAAACTAAGTCTCCGATGGACATCGCTCGTGTGGGGCCTAAGCCTAATGGTGAGCCTGTCTGGTTGGTGATGGCGATGTCAATGCAATGCCTTCTAGTGAAATATCAAGATGTTGTATCAACCGGTTGTGAACGAAACACCACCCAGGAAAGGATTTGTTGTGGCCACCCATGGGCCAGATGGAGACATATCTTCGGTGTGCCATGGTTTGGTTTGGTTCTGTTGTCATGATGACTATGACAAGATTTTATGGATATCAGGTGTTCCAAAAGTTTGAGGAGTTTAGAATATGTCTATTAGGATCATGTCAACATTATTATACTACTACATTTGGGCTATTTTGATGGTGTGCCTATTTGGGGCTCCCAGCTGATCAAATATATAATAAACATATGACATATGATATGCCAACAAAAATAACAATGCCTGCAAACATGTGTTCGCCGTTGCCCTTAAGGAGTGGGTTTCTTCACGCGATTCAGTTGGTACTCAAATTGCGAGAGGGTGCTTTAGTCACCGCAGGCCCTCCTTGCGGGAGTTTTGTATTTTTGAATATGGGAACGTCCAAGCGATCAAAATGCAGACCTTTGGGTGGTCGCCTGCCTTATGTGAAGAAAGCCAATTTGCCACTTAGCGAAAAACAAATTGTCCTTTAAAATATGGTGGTGTTGTCTTGACCAATAGAGCACCCTACCCCCACAGTGCCCAAACGCCTGCCAAGGATCACCTGCCGTCTGTGTCTTCTACTGGTCCTAGCGACCATTCGAGGAGCAGTGTTTTTGGTGGAGCAGCCATCCCAAACCCTTATGATGGAATTCCCTTATTTCAGATGGATGGCATCTGTGTTTGGGAGACTGGTGACATGGCAAGTGCACCGTTTGTTACTAGCCTTAACTGGTACTTTGGTTCAAATTACAATAGTTTTAATGTGCATATGCTACATATGGCTTGTACCTTCTGGGGATTGACTGTCCATGTTGAAACAACCGAACTGAGTTTCATGGGGAGCTATGGGCATCCATATTTGAAGCCAACTGTGGCTTTTGGAACAGCGTCTGGGTCTTACTTATATTTTTTATATTCCACTGGCCACTGGCATGTGCACTTATTGCTGCCCTTTGCATATGGGGGTCCCTTCTAATCCTAAGACCCTCCTTGCCATTCCAAGTCCATGGGCCATCAAAATGAAGAAGAAGCTCACGAAGAAAGTCCGAAAGAGGGCTAAGCGTAACTCGAAAAAGCGAGCCATGGTGCGCAAATACAAGAACCGTCGTGGTGAAAGCAAAGTGTGCTTAGCTTATGAGTGTTTTGAACATATGTCGTTTCAAGTTTGTTGAATAGTACACATGCATGATCATGTGCATGTTGGTATCCCAAAAATACAGCTCAGGTGTGGGACAGCAAACCTAAGATCCTCCCAAATATATCCACTTGGGTATGGAGAAGCACTGGTGAAGAACCACCAAAATTGGAGTGTATTTCGGATTGACCTGATAATTTACTTATATTAGAAGTAGTAGGACACATTTCAAAAGCTGTTTGAAGGTATTGGTGGCTACTCCATTTATTTCCCAGGTTAGCGCCAACAATGTGCTGGCGTTCAAACACAAGGTGTACAGTCTGCTGGCTGGTGCAAAGCCTGCTGAGGCAGTTCCCCTTCATTTGAATGGGATACAATGGGAATTCTTCAGAGTTCGTTGGTGAAACAAGCATGGAAACAAATTCTACTACTTCAAGGGGGGGGCATGACTACACAGCGTGAATTCTGTGCCAGTAGTTTGGGAAAATAGACTATATGAAATCATATTCTCCTTCAGTGTTTTATCTCCAATGCTTGGTATGCCCTGCTGTTGTTGCAAGGCGCCCTACCGGTTTCGGCATGCAGCCCTGACGGAACTGAGGGACTTTTTAGTAGCTGAGAAGAAAGCGGGCCGATTTCACCCACTTTTTTTGGGGGGCCTCGAATGAAAGGCCTTTCCATGATGCGTTGCAATATCAACGCATGTCAGTAGTGGAAAATTCATATGACAATGCAATGGTGCGTAGGAACCATGCTATTGGGGATGACATACGAGAAAAATGATGTCAAAAAACACCGTGATTTAGCCGTGACAGATGCGTGACTAAACCGTGAAAGACCATTTTTAACCGTGAAAGTCCATTTTTAACCGTGAAAGACTTTAACCATAATTTGCCCCAAAAAACACTGAAAAGATCCTGAAAATATATAGCATCATTATGAGCTGAGTTTTTTCTTGTTGAGGCCATTGCATCCTGAACCATCTTGATTTTAATCTGTTGAAGCCATTTGGTCGGATCCAGGTGCTGAGGCTACTTCTTTTCGGGTGGGTGCTTAGGAGAAAATGGGATCTCCAGATCCAGTCAAGGAGGCCCTTGAAAAAGCGGCTGCCAGAGCAGCCCGGGTAGCGGTCCTTGATGCTGCTGGTCAAGAGCCTTCACCCAGTGATCTTCGCGCCCCCTGTGCCAGGCTGCGCATGTGGCAGGGTGTTTTTTTAGAAACCACACTGGTAACAAGTGACTTCAATCAAAAAAATGCCAAGGATATCGAAAAGGTCCAGGTCACATGTTACAAGTATTCATTTAGATGGTGCTTAGGGGTGGAAGACTGGTTTCAGATCCTGTAACCTGCACGTTACCAAAAGGCCTTGAAATCGCAATCTAGAACATGGTCTTTGCACACTTTTGTGATAAAACCTTGTTGATGGACTTTAACCAAGAGGTGGGGTTACTTGGTTGATAAGACCTATCCTAATGAATGGACCCCTGATTGCTACCACTGGGTATTGCAGGATGGGTCCCAAGAGGTGATCTATGAAAAGCGATAAAACAAATCATAGAAATGATCCTGACTAATCCTGATGATCAACTCACCGGCTCCCTCTGCCAGGAAAGATCAAAAAGCTGTGCAGAAAAAAATGAAGAAAGCCGCAGGACCCAAAGGACCCAAAGGCAAATGGGTGAGATGGCTGGACCCTTTCCCCGTGTGGATTCATCTCCCATCCATAATACAGCTCACCCAGAAAAAAATAACATGTCGATCATTTGTTTACCCATACTTTACCGCCTGATGAAGCGATACATTCATCCAAATTCAGATGCACCATAGTGTTATTCTTGTCCCTCAGGTTCTTGTATTTCTTATCCTATGATAATGAAACCTGCTAAGCACAAGTAAACCATCTTCAAACTAATCATGTGGGGATTAATGTGGCATAAACTATCCCAAAAAGAGGTTTGCCAACCACTTATTTTCGAACATGTTATTGGTGATAGTTTATTTGTGATTTTACTGCTTTAGCATTAAATACCTTGTGCCCACAGAGTGAGCTGATGCTTGCTAGCAAAAAAGCGTTCGCAGGTCATGCTTCGGATGATGATGATGATGAATCAACTGTTGCTGCAGCATCAGAGGATGCACGTGCGATGGCAGTTGCAAATGTGGCACTCAAGACACCAGAGCAGCACACTAGAAAGCTTCCTAGGCACAGTCTGTCCAGCCAACCCAAACTGGACAGGTCGATGCAAAGCAAACGTGTGTTGGTACCCACTGAAGTTGACGAAGAAGAGAAACCCAAGGGTGCAAAACAGCTCAAGAGGGCAGCCCCGCTAGCACTAGAGGATCAGAAAGTTGACAAAAAGGAAACCGCAAAGAAAGCTACTGCAGTGAAAGCAAAAGCTTCCAAGCCTGAGGTGTCAGGTGGTTCTTCCCAACAGGGCAACAGCACGACCAAACCAATGGCACTTGAGAATCAGCCCACACCAGGTCAGGCAAGTAAGTCAACTCTGCCGCCCCCTGCAAAACTTGAGCGATGCAAGTCTAATGTGAGCAATGATGGCAATGGTGTGGCATCAGCCGTAGATGCATGCCTCAACCGACAAGACACAGCCAATTTGAACAAAACCGGAAAAGGCATAGCCAAAGCAGCAGCAGCAGCAGACCCAGACCCGTCTGAACCTGACTCAAGCAGCAGTGAAAATGAAAGCGAGAATGGAGAGAACCCACAAGACGAGCAGGACCTTGAAAAGGTTTTGAAGCAGAAAGAAAGTCGCGCCAGGTATATGAGGTTTTACCGCTCTCTGAGAAGTACTTTGGATCTGCTTTCGAACCCTGCTAAGCTTGTCCTCTGTTTGAAGTCTTGGTTTACTATAGGGTTCCTCCTATGTATTTCCCTGGGTTCAACAGGTATATTACACATATAGGTTTGTTTGATGCTGCCTACTAAGGCAAGAGAACTCCCCTCGAGGTCAGACGGGCAGGGGCTGCGGCGTACAGGCAGAGTGACCGTTTGCAAGTACTGCTCGAGCAGTGGCTTGCATGCAGTGGCCAATGGAAGGCTTCAGAATTCTACTACCAAGCACGACAGAAAAAGCGCTCTAGAAGGCATGGCTGCAGAAAGTGGCTGACACGTTCTGAAATAGCTACAAAGTATGGAAGCTTTGACACAGCTGATGGTATCATCGCCCAGAAGATGCGGGACCCGGAGATCAGCAAAGACCAGATAAGATGCCATCCCGACATGCACGGGCAGGAGACCGATGCTTTGTTTATACAGAATGCCATGTCTGGCTACAAATTAAGGTCATCTATTGGAACATACAATTGCTCCTTTTGAGTAGTAGTGACACCAAAATACAGTATCTTGGAAGGAACCCTTGACCTACAGCTAGATCCACCTGTTTTCACAGCCTCAGAACCCTTTCCAAAATTCCATTCCTTCCATTCCTGAATCTAAATGTCAAGGTGTTCATCTTTGCACTAAGGACACTCGCCAATACCTGGTGTGGGATCAGGATGGTGAAGAAGAAACGACTGATCTTGTCACCCAGGCTTTGTTCCAGGCAGCAGATACTGATGAAAATAACAAGAAGCCAGGCGTTGGTCAGGCTAGAAAGAAAAAGAGCAAGAAGCAGGACAAGGCCAAGAAGAAGAGCCGCAAGAATAAGAAGTCCAGCAAGAAGAGAAAGGCAAAGTCCACCAGTGATTCTGAGTCCGATGAGTCAAGCAAGTCCAGCAGTTCGTCTTCGTCTTCAGAGAAAAGCAGTGAAAGCTCTGAGGCCACACAAAACTTAGCAAAAGACTTACCAAAAGACTTAGCACAAGACTTAGCACACACATGCATGCACATGTACTTGTGTGAAAACATCTCTAGTCCATTGTCTTGTATGTTGTTGCTCAGCCTTCTGTAACATCCGGTGAATTTGAAGCCCCGACCAGCTCATTCTCACGAGCTTCTGTGGACCCCAGCCTTTGAAGCAACAAAACCATTCAAGAGCTTTATATGGGCTAGTTCATTTTTTTTTATGTTTTGGACATCGGCTACCATTGGTCTGTTTCTCTGATTCCCTGTCTGGAGGATTCCAGTGCCAAGCCGAAAAGAAAGGGGAAGAAGCAACCCAAGACCGAGAAGAACAAGAAGCTTGGACAGAGCAAGAAGTCCAAGGACCCCAAGGATCAAACCGAGGAGGACAAAGAGAAAGCAAAGAAGAAGCAAGAGGAGATTGCACGTAAAGCAGAGGAGAAAAGAGTCACAGATGCACACAAGAAGGAATGTCGAAAGGGTGAACAGGTGCCTTGCATATCTCCGTGTGTGGCGTTCCAGATACATCTTTGTTTGTGCAAACTCATTCATGATTAGAAGCTAAAAATCTTAGTTTGTTTGACTATCTGCTATATGATATAATATATAATATATACGCATCGAATGAATGGGATAATGGATTACAGTGTTTTTAATTGTGGGAGATGGGTTCAATCCTTGAGGCCATCGACAAGCTGACCATCGCGATTCACAAAACCACCAGCCTGCAGGGTGGAAAGCTTTCCACCATGCTACAGCCTCAGCGTGGATTGCATAGCCACAGGGGGTGGTGTTTGGATGCACACCCCAAGCGGCAATTAATTACAATATACGTAAGAATAAACACATGTATGATTGGGATTAAAACTGGGATATGTATGTATATTCACCCAAATGGCCCCGCTGGGAAAATCCCATGTAATCCCATGTCCACATTATGTTTTATTATTTGCATAGCAAAAGAAGTGAACATCCAAAAAGGAATTAGAAACCCCTTTGGGATACGCTTATATATGTTCCCATGAGGCCAGACTTAGGGCGCACATGTAATTCTGCGACCCCATGAGTTCCAACGATTACAGATGGTTTTTGTTTGGCATATGGTTTCTGTTTGAAAAAATAAAAATTGGTAATTTTACAAACCACTACTATGGGTCCCATATCCTGTCATGTTGATCACCAGCAATTTATTTAAAACATAGATGGTCCATAAGCTCATAAATGCATCCTGCTTAGGAGTCAGGCCGTGCAAGATGCTATCTTCCAGGAGATGAAGCCCCAGGCAAAGGTCTTGAAATCTACCAGGACCGATCTTCAATCACGAATTGATTCCTCGCAGGCAGGGTTGCCTGCCACAAATGAAATAGAGCATGTGCCAAAACATATAGTTCAGGGGACCTGACTTGGTTATAAAATCATCTGAATACAAATTTTAGTTTAAAATATTTTGGGTGGATAACATTACAACACGCACCCCAAATTTTAGTATATACCTGATTCACAGTTTACGAATAGAAAAGCCCATCAGTCCATTAGTTGATTCAATGGTTTACCAGCCTCTGCTGTTCAGGCAGGTGATCTTGATGATCTGACTGATGGCATTGCTACGGCTCAGCGAGTCTTGAAGGATTTCGGAACTTTCTTGAAGTCTTACAATTTGAAATGATATTGTCTGGCCGTGGGGAATGGCATGTGTGCCTTAGAACTCCACAATCTGGGCCATGGACGAGTTGCTGTCTGCAACATTTCGCTCTCCTTTCCACGGGGAATGGCATGTCACATCTTGTTTAAACTAAACAGGACCCATAGTAGATAGCACACTTGTGTGAGAAACTTTGTTCTGCTTTAAAATTTATCTTCAAAGTTTGGGGTGAAGGTGATCCAGTTCCCCTTCGATAAGTGAAGTGGACGGGCTTATGTGCGACAGACATGTTTCCAAGCTGTACGAAATTCATCCATGTCAGTGATGAAGAACCTGTGTGAACTCCACGCGGGCCATGAACAAACTCTTGGGAATCTGTGAGTAAAAAAAGAAACATTGGATGGATGACCCTGGTTGCTTACCAAAATGTGTACTGGAACTCCTCCACTAAGGGAACCCATATGGATAGGTGATCATAGATCGATCTATATTCATCCAGGGTTTACAAACAGTAGTAGCGGGATACTTAGTAAGCTTATAATTATAAAGGTACAGGGATACTCAGGTTGATTGATGGCAAACAAAATCCAATTCCCATTTTCTTGCACCACCGCTCGCAGGTGATTCCAAACCAGTCGCTTTGTTTGGCCACTATGATGATGTCGCGGCCGGAGCTGCTTGACAGGACTTTTGGTCGGTGAGAAACATGTTGTATCCCCATCCAACATGTTTGTAAATGGAATCCCAAACATGTCATGTCGATGAACCATGATTGTTGAACACCCCACACCCCCAAATCCAAATTTCCCAGTCCTCACTCTCTGAGGCTACTTCAACCCACAAGGTGATGCGAAGAGTCCGAGAGCAAGTCCAAGAACCTGGGTGTTCCACACATGCGCAGGATGGGCAAGGTTGCTGATAGCAAGTAGTGTATGGCATAGTATGGGTTATATAGTTATATGGTTATACCCATCTTGAAATTCATGACAGGGATAATGGAAGGGCGTACTCAACCTGGATAGTTCCTTTGTTCCCCAAGAAGGTGTTTTATTTTTTTCATACATAGGGGAAACATGGGATACTTGTTCGATTTCAGCATGCCCATTGCAGGTTATATTTTTACTGTATGGTCCTCTCAAATCCTTCACAGTAGGTGAGCCAAGGCATATGAAAGGGAATTTCAATCAACCAGTTTTTAGTGGTATTGATGGGTAATATTCGAAAAATATGCGAACGTTTGGCCAATGCCAGTGGCTTTATGCTAGTGGTACATAACAAGAAAGTTGGTTGCAAGAAACTTATAGTGTGCACCCTCCCTTTGCTATTCTGTGCCCTTCCAAGGAAAGCGGTACTGCTCATGAGGAAACTTCCATTTTGGCTTCCAGGTCTGGAAAAAACGACAGTCGAGATTTCTGGAAGTTCACTGACATACCGGTAGTACCTTGGCTCTTTAAAACTTGTTCCTAAGGCCTAATGCAACATGATTGCGCCTGATCCCTTTTTATACAATATATAATATACCCAAGAAGTGTAGCCTAAAAAGTTGCAGGACATGTCATAAAATCATTAGCTACCGAGGGCCCTCCTATTCTATTTTGTATGCTATGTAGACGAGTTTAGCCATAAGTTTCCTCAAGGACAGCTTTGCTACATTCCCCAAGAAATAATTGCCATCAGGTTTGGTTTGGTCAAAGCATGTCCCAAATCACAAATAATGTTGGCATTTGGCAAATATGTTTCTTATAACTTGGGAAAACATAACCAAGGAGATTGAAACTATTCGGCTACCTGTGAAGGATCCCAAATCAGAGCGTGGTGTAAGCATGGACAATTTTCCCATCATATACCCATACCGAGTGTTGACATATCTCTTTGACCATGTCGGTCTTTATATACCAGATGAAGATGTTCAAGCCTACTGGAAGCACGCACGGCAAGTTGGTGAGCCGTGGGCTGTGGGGAACCCTTCCAGTGATCACCATCTTCCAATCGGATTGCACGGAGACGCAGCACGGCTTTGGACTGTCCACCAGTTTGAGAAACATGTGAGTGTCTTTATGAATCTGGTATTGTGGCGTCCGAGATCAATTCGTCACTCAAGATTCCTTCTCTTTTCAATCCCACAGGAGAAAGTGTGGAAAAATCGAACTTTCAATCGTGTATGGGAGAGGCTGGCTTGGAGTTTCAATGCCTGCTGGGAAGGCTTCAATCCTTGTCAAGGTCCGAGAGGTATCCCTTTGAGAGGAAAACACTTGGAGCGTGCTGGTTTGCCAATCACAAAAGGCGGACATAAATTCACAATTACTGAGTATCGTGGGGACTGGGAGTGGCATTGCCACACTTGGCGCCCCCGGGCCAGCTGGCAGGGTGTGAGCATGTGCATGAAATGCCCAGCCCAGTCTCGAGGAGATGCTGGACTTCTCTACTACAATTTGGGGAGCTGTGTTGAGGACGGATGTAGGTGGGTACAGGAAGAGTATTCCCTTGCTGGTTTTATTGCCAAGAGCCTGAAAGACAGAAACTTGTGTGGCTTGCCAGTAGCCTTTCATCATATTTTTTGTGTTTGCTGAAGACTTTTTTTCAAATCATATGCCATACCCAATCTTACTGAGTCTTACTGAGAAGCAAGAAAATCAGTTAATTCACCTGTGATATTGTCCAGTGATCTTTTCTTTGGGTCAGAAAGCATTTAAACAGTCAACCCAGAATTCCCCATGGGAAGCTTCAAAGGAACCAAAAACCGTTTTCAAACATGTGGGATATACTGTATCGTGGCTATGTATTATCCACGGACCAAATGGCAGAATATGGCATGACAGAAAAAGTGATCCCAAGCAATGTTTCTCTGGGCTTTAGCAAGGGTTTGTTTGTTGACCACTGTAATTACCTGCATTACCCTTGGGAATGTTGCAAGCCCTGCCAAGGTCCTCTACTTCAAAGCTACGGGTTCCATCCCGGGTGCATACGCTGGTGCACAATGCATGCCTTAAATCTAGGCATTCTCTTCACCGTCAATGGTGGGGGTCTGAAACTTGTCCCTTCTGTACCCGGGTGGAAGTTTTGATAAAAAATTATGACTATACACCAGAAATCAATTGCATATCTACTATCAGCTAGTGATTCTCAATAGGGTTTAGGGGTCCTATTTAGATCAATGTGGAACTCATCCGCACTCTGCCCCCCCGTAGCTGGGTACCCGAACAGAAATCGAAGGAACTTGAGCTTCACCACTAGCTTGCCAGGCTGATCTTTAACTTGCTGATCAATATTATTTTGTGTGGAAGTTAGCTTTTTTTTTTGTTGCCGTAATTCCCTGCAGCAAGTTGAAGATCAGCCTGGCAAGCATGCTTTCTCCCAACCTCCTGGCTGGGGCAGGGGTGCAAGAACATGCGTCGGACTGAGGATGCTTTTGATGGATCTTCTGTACTTCGGGCCAAGAACCTTTGAGGAGCAGCTGGATACTGCCTACAAGAGTTTCGTGGGGTTTTGCCGCCAGCACAAAATCCATCATTCCCAGCCACCCTTCACTAGGAGAAGTGTGACTTAGTGGTTAGACTTATGCCAGTTTTTGGTCATCACCTAGCCATATAATTGAAAAAAATCTTGGACATGTAATCCAAGCTAGAAGAAAACTCATACCTATTTGATCTGGTTTAAACATGCTTTGTGCCTTAGCGGGGCATAGACATGTCCAGCAGTGTTTGAAATTCAGCCCGCCACTGTCAGGTGGTACGCAAAACTGGTGAAGTTGGATTGGTCGCAAAGGCTTGGAATGGCCGATGTGTTCTCAGATGGCTGTCCCACTGCTTGCAAGATGCTTTGGTATCCAATGGGGACAATGACTGTTTAGTGCTGACCACTGCCGCTACGACCCTTGTTTGAATCTATTGGCCCCAATTGACCTTGTCTTGGGGGGGTATGGGGTCCTCATTATCATTATACTCAAATGGTTTTGTTTTTGTTGGAGAAAATTAGGCTAAAGTTTTCCACGACTACTTTGGTTTGGAACAAGATGACAAAAAATATATAATTTCTTGTGGTTTGGGATGAAATGTTTATGGCCCTTGCCCCCATTTCCTTCCCTGTCTTCTGCTCCTCAAGGAGTTCGCTGGCACACTTCTTCAGCTTGATGGAATCCAATCCACGGGTGCTGATACATGGCTTAACCGAGAAGGCCCTACTTGATGTGGAATTAATTACAATATTTATAAACTAATAAACCCAAAACAGGCACCTAATTTTAAATGTGAATTTATAATGAAGATTCTTTTGAACAACACCATATAAATTCATTGTTGGGTTTACCACGTTCTCTATTAGATATGATTGTATCATTGTGAGATTGCAATCTTAAAATAGACAGGAATATCTTGGTTTTGTTCTCTGATATACCCCAGAATTCAAATCCCATTCTATAAATATGGCGTTTGCAACGACCTGTTCACATTGAGATGCCAATCCCTTGAGGAAACCAGCTAGAAGGATACTGAAAAAAAAAACATATCACGCCCAATGGTTGGACAACATTAATTAATATGTTTTTTGTAACCATCTCAGGATTCCTCAAGTGGCAGCAAAAATGTTCAACCTTGGAATGAAGTTCCTCAAACTGTACAAAGCGCTTTGCATCCTACATGTGAGGCAAGGTCTGTGCATGAGAAAACACACAAACTCCACTTCATATGGACATGTATTTCAAAGCTCTTGGTTTGACAGGGATAATCAACCCCGCTGGCTCATGAAGCCAAAGGCCCATGCTTCTTGTCTACAAAAAAATAAGCCATCGAAAAAAACGAAACAAATTACTTCGATCAGGATATTGGTTAAGGGTGTTAGATTCTTACTTACTTTTGTTTCAACAAGGTTCTGGCTCATTTGTGCCATGATCTTCGCCGCTACAGTGCCTTGGCGTGTGTGTGTGTGTGTGTGCATGTGCGTGCATGCGCTCTGTTAATTTGTGGTGCATCTTTTGAATGTAAAACAAGATATGAGAGCTTGTTGGTCGCCAATAAGGATCCAATCCA